AAAAAAATTTATAAATTAGTAGGTTGCACATTCCTATTAGTGATCTGTGCATTCCATGAGGCATAAAGATTTGTATCCCTTCCAAAACTCTCACTGTTTTGGGAGATTTGCTTTTCTTTTTCATTTGGGTTTGTTAGTTTTCAAATTACAAAGTAGTAATGTCTTCAGCTTTAGAACTAGGGCATATTTTTAGAACTAGGGCATATTTTTCCTCCCACAGAGTTAAGAGATGGGAAGAAGAGAGCAGGCCCATTGACCTGTCAGCCTCACCTACGTGTGTACGGGTGCTTTCTCCGTGTGCTGGTTTCTGATGGTGGCATCTCATGAAGGGAAATTCCCAAGAAGACCGCAGCAGTTCTGTGTCTCTGTCAGCCACCATCCTTTCCATATGCTGGTGGTTTATTGTATGCTGGAATACTCCCTGGCTTGTGTCTCACCAGCCCCTTTGTGGCACATACAGGTTGAAGAACGGGACTCGCAGCACCCTTGCACCCTCAGTCACCCGCAGAGCTCCCAGCAGTGGCACGGCACGGTTCCAGTGCTCCTCGCCAGCTGCCGACTGCCCAGCGGTGCCCAGCAGCTCTGCCGCTGCGGGCTGAAGAGCAGGCAGGGAAGGGGGGGTCTGCCGTACAGTCACACAAAGAAAACTCCATCTCTACTAACCAGGAGATGCTGGCAGCTCTCATGGAGGCGCAGACATCTCTGACATGACTGCTAACCAGAATTAAAGACATAAATAAATTCCTGGCTGTCATAGCTCTTGGTTTCAAACAACTTTAGTTGCAAGCACCGACCCAGAGGAAAGGATGCTGAAGTGTTGAGGTTGCTGGGCTTAACCTGTGGAAAAGGAGTAAGCTCAGGTGCTGAAAGCTGACTCAGATGTTTTCAGTTTTCCTGCCAGAGTGAGAATGCACAGATGAACAAATTACTGAAGGGCTCCAAAGTGATGTAGAAAGGAATAAGCTTCTTTAATATATATCAGTTTCTGCTTGGGGAACAGTGAAATTCACTTAAAAGTCTGTGCTGCCTGTACTGCTTTTAAGCACAGATAATGTACAGAAGAATTTGGCTGGTGTCAGCCCTTTTTGTCTCCCTAAATGGCTGAGAATCCTGGGGTAGGACAGAGGGAAAAGCACTTGGGGAAAAATCTAATGCAGAGGAAATGGGAGAAGTGTCTTGCTATGGCTGTGGGGGAGAACGGTAATAGCCGACTCTCCGCTTTGTTTATGTGGGTTGTCATGTTCGCATGCGCTCTGAGACATGTGCCTATGGGTGTACATGTATATAAACACACACACATAAAATAGCTGTTGTCTGTATTGCACACATAGTGGGTTTGGGACCAGTTTCTCAGTGGTTCATGGTATGTTTGTGGTCCAAATGAGTAGCAGCACAAGAATTTTGGAGTTGTTTTGTTGTTGGTATTTTTTTCTTCCTGTATAGAAAGATGAAAATATTAGGTCTGTCTCTGAAAGGATGACTTTTTGTCTTGGGGAGTTTTGACTGACTGATTAGAAATGGAAGATTTGGGGTTCTAGCTTGCTGTAACAAATTACTGCATAATTGGATTGTGTAGGTTCCAATAGGTTTTCTGCTCACCAAAGATCAGAAGAGATCTTTCAGTGGGATAAGAAGAGGCATTAGCTCTTTCATCCTAGATAAAGAGCTCTAAAACCAGGCACAACATAGAACTTACTATAAATAGTATCATAGAATCATAGAATTAATCACAGAATGGTTTGGGTTGGAAGGGACCTTAAACACCATCCAGTTCCAATGCCCCCGCCATGGGCAGGGACACCTTCCACTAGACCAGGTTGCTCCAAGCCTCATCCAGCCTGGCCTTGGACACTTCCAGGGATGGGGCATCCACAGCTTCTCTGGGCAACCTGTCCCAGTGCCTCCCCACCCTCTCTGTGAAGAATTTCTTCCTGATGTCCAATCTGAATCTCCCCACTTTCAATTAAAACCCGTTACCCCTTGTCCTGTCACTACAGACCCTTGTAAAAATTCCCCCCCAACTTTTTTGTCAGCCCCTTCAGGCACTGGAGAGCTGCTATAAGGTCTCCCCGGAGCCTTCTCTTCTCCAGGCTGAACAAGCCCAACTCTCTCTGTCTTTAATTAATTAATTAATTCCCTAATCTTGTTTTAGATTTTTGTATGTTTTGCCTAGTTGTTACACCTAAACAGCTGCATTGCTTGTGGTCTTGAATATATCCTCTCAGAAGGGCAATACCCTTCAAGTCTTTGTGTAGATTAAGCTTTTATAAGACTGCTTGTATTGCCGACTGAAGTCAGAATCTCATTATTTAAATTTGGATACCATTGCTCCAGAGAACATACTTGAAATATTAAACTGATATTTTGAGCATGTAAGCACGGGGTAAGCCAGGGAGGAGAGTTCGAGGAGGAACTGGGGGAGAAGAATGAACATGTTACTTGTGGCAGATGATTTCATTGTACTGGGACTCTGATTCAATGGTATCGATGGAACCGAGTGGCTCTTTTTTTTGACAGGAAAACTTCGTACAGTTTTCCTGCTTTATGTAAGGATTGTAAGAGGAGCGTTATAATGGCATTATTTGGAAGAAATTCTTGTCCAGTGAGTTCACTGGGAGTGATACTGGCTGGTGAACACAACTTGTGTCATTTTATGTATTTTGAATCTGAGGAACATGAAGTGCATTTACAAATGTGTCATTGTACAGGTGTAACTAGCACTGTCTACATACTCCTTCCAGCTCTGGCACATGACTCTCTTGCCTGTCACCCTCTCTGTGATCCAGATCCGAACCTCTTAAGAAACCAAAATCAGCCTCCAGTCCCCCCACTTTCTAATTCTGCATGACTAAGTCATCCAACATGTTCCAAATACTGTTGCTCATTCCAAATACATTGGTTACCTGTGTGCCAATCATTGTCAGCATGTTTCTGCAGTGGGGTGGCTGCGCGTTGTGTAACTGGCATAAATTAAAAAGTTTGAGTCACAGTATTGCCCTTTCTGCATACACCCACATGTGCCTGTTACGTATGCGCAGCTTATGGGAGATAGAGGAGTGATAGCAGCACTGCACATGCCCTGCCAGCAAACAAGGAACTTGTGTACGCTCAGAAAATAGGTATTGATGCAGAATTTACATCAGAATAAGAGGAAGTGAAGAGCGCACAAAAGTATTTGCTGTGTGTGACTATAGGAATCCCCAAGAACTTCTTTTCAACCAGAAGATTACAATGAGGAAAAGAATGAAAACATGTCAGTGGTAGATTTTTGCCCGCTGATGGATGTATTTATGACTGAGGCACGTGCCTTGAAGTCTGCATGGCATTTCCCATATTTGTGAGGGAAAGCCCTGTGCCCTGGCGTAGCTTTGCTGTACGGCACAGTCGGTCACTTCCCTCTAGCTTGACATTTCCCCATCTGTCGAAGGGGAATTGCTCATTGTTCTTAAAGCACTTTTGTGTTTAAGGACATATCATAAACCCTGCTGGTTTTCTTACAAATGCTCTATAGAATAATAAGAGTAAATTGAGGATTTGTAGAGGGTACATTTGTAGAAATAGATTTCCCTGTGCTTACAGTTTTCTGCAATTGGCTGCTTAATTTCTGCACCTGTAATTACTTTTGGGTGTAGCTCAAGCTGCTTAGATGTCTGAGAACCTGATTGTGCTCATCTATCAGGTATTTAGGCATCAAAGTATTGTGCCTTATGTCTTCACACAGCAGCACCCAGAAAACTGCAAGGGTAGTGAAAGAGGTCAGCTTGAAAATCAGGTCCTTGCAGTTTACAAAAGTTTTATCTGAAACATAGAATGGTTTGGGTTGGAAGGGAACTTAAAGACCATCTAGGTCCAACCCCCCTGCCATGGGCAGGGACACCTTCCACTAGACCAGGTTGCTCCAAGCCTCATCCAGCCTGGCCTTGGACACTTCCAGAGATGGGGCATCCACAGCTTCTCTGGGCAGCCTGTCCCAGTGCCTCCTCACCCTCTCCAGGAAGCCTTTCTTCCTGATGTCCAATCTGAATCTCCCCACTTTCAATTAAAACCCGTTACCCCATTCCCCCATGGAAATGGGCCATGAAGAGAATTCTGTAGATGAACAACTCCTTTTTGTCCATTTTAGGCTGCGTTGTGCTGACTGGGAAGTCCATCTTCTCGTGCTCTTGGATTGCCTGTTACTCAGGGCAGTTCTCCGGGCAGCTTAGTGCTTTAGCAGCCCGGTGCGTCTCCGAGCTGCTCACCTGGGGAGCTGCTGACTGAGCACACCGGTGTCCTGTGCTCGCCATAGAGCTCCAGCCTCGGCTCTCTGGAACTGCACGTCTCAGCGCAGACTGTAACCTGAGGTTTTCAGGAGTGCTCAGAGTTGCCTTGCTCTGCCTTCTTGCTGCGAGGGGGAGACGCGCTTTTCACAAGGCAGGTGGAGTGAGATGGGTACATAGCAGCTTTGAAAAACTTCCCTTATTCAGTACCTTCTAATCAAGGGGGAAATCGAGAGTTTGGGAGATTGCGGTTTCAACTCTCTCACAGCCCTGAAGAGCCTCAGGATTTCACCAGTTGTAACTTGTCCCTTGGCATGCTGGGGAGGCTGGGGCTGTGCTTGGCAGGTGTTGCTTTCTCTGGATCCCAGAGCAGGATTCACTTCACTCACCCAGACCTCGCGCTGTCCGTGAGCGTTGCTGGCACTGGGGCTTAGCCAGTGAGCTGCATCCTGAGAGTAAACTGAGGGTCTTTTGCCTCTGTTAGAAATATCATCCTGAGTGTCACGGGCTAAACATGTATTACTTTTCTTTCATGCCTACAAATCTGCAAAAACTAGCCTTTCCTCCCCAGCAAGAGGCAAATGAGAAGAACCTGAGGTTGTAAATACAGATGCATGCAGGGGGGGTCACTTCCCAGTCACAAGTGTTCATGTTTCCCTATTTGTGCAGCTTCCACTGTTGTCTGTCCTGAATTCAGAAAGACAAGAGAGACCTGCTAAGGTGTTTAATTTCTTTTCGCAGTATTTCTGGCTTCTTGTGCTGTCACGAGGTTTGGTTGGCATCGGTGAAGCGAGTTACTCCACTATTGCACCAACCATCATAGGAGACCTTTTCACCAAAAACACCAGGACCCTTATGCTGTCTGTTTTCTACTTTGCAATTCCTCTTGGCAGGTAAGTGACATAATGCTGCTTTGATCTCGTTTTGGCTTTTCTCTTAACTTAAGCTCACGCAGATCTTAACTTGCTGATGATGATAGTTCTTCTGTCTATGGTTGGAACGTTTCAGACAGGAAAATATTGTGAGCCGTGACTAACTGGTTGCGGCAATTGCATTCTTTTTCTAGCCCTGTTACTGGTTCACGTGTGACTTTTGGGAATCAGTGGGAAGGATTTTTATTTTTTTACGGCAATGGGGTGGAAATGGAATAAAAATATATTAGCTGACAGGTTTTTTTAGCATTATTAAATTAACTATCATTTTGAATAATGTTATATTGGTTCTGTGAATCATTGCTTCGATGCATTTGAGGTCTAGGCCTTCTTTAGCCAATGCCTTTCAGGTTACTGTGAAATCAAGATCTCTTAAAGACACTGGACTGAGTTTTCAAAGGTGAGCACATGTGTACCTGCTTCTGTGTGATAGTCTACATATTGGAGAATGCTGTGTAAAATACACAGTTTGAAATTTTGACTTTCAAAAATATTTTTAGTTTAAGCTCAAATTCTGCCCAGTTAGAATTTGGCCAATCTGACTAAGTTTGGAACATGTATCTAAGGCAATCTTAGATGACTTGGCAGTTGCAATCACAGTAGTCAGTCCATTTTAGTGCTGTTGCCACTGAAACAGCAATTAGGAGAAATTGTGAAGTCTAGTGTAGACAACAAGGCTGAAGAGAGAAACTCCAGTGATCGTTCACACTTAGTCTTAATGCAGAGCAGTGAAGGACAGCCAAGCCCACAGATGCTTGATGAAAGCCATAGGCATACTCAGATTTAGAGTGGTTATTTCCTCTGGCACTTTCTTTCAGTCGAGTTCCGTTATCAGCCCAATGCAATATCTGAGTGTTGGGACAGGAGGGAACCTGTGATTCTATATTTTTAAATAATGTCGGACCCTCTATCGTAAGGTTGTAGGCAGGATGGGTTCACATAGTTTGCATACCCATTCCTAGAGCTGGACAACATCCTGTGCAAAGGAAAAAGTGATAGCCAAGTCCTCAACTGGTGAAAAGCCTTCCCGGGAAGGCTGAGGATGCCAGATATTTACATCGAGAATTCAGTGAACTATGGCTAGGATGAGATGACAAATATTCATCCTGTTGAGCCTGATTCTGGGATTAATTATCTCATTATCCAACAGAGGTGTGGATCCATGGTTTGATTTTGGGGCCCATCTGTGTAAAAAGCCCAATTTTGGGGTGATTGTCGATGGCAACCTCCAGAGCTCAGCAGACAGTTCAGTAACGGCCTGTGACGGCTGACAGCTGCCCCACAGCAGTCCTGGCAACGTTTAGCCAGGGCAATCTCAGCAACAAATGCAGTGGATTTGAAAAAAGGACATTCACATTCCCCTTTATCTAGTCTCTTGGGAGCCACCTTTTGCTGCTGCAGTGTCATTCTTGGCAGGTGGCTGAAGGTTCTGTTGCTCCTTTATCTTCAGACTAGATTTCCAAGCTTCAGGTCTGATGTTCTTCCATCACACTGTCTTGCATGTTCCTCTTGGTTTTTCTTACAAGCTTGTGGAAAATGGGCTCTTCATGGATAATTAGAACCAAGTGCTATTAAATGACAAGAAAAGAATTTAAAGATGGAATCTGGTATGCCCTTGAAGGGCACTTCTTAACTTAGAGCTTGAACATAAAACTGTTAAGTATTCGTAATAGTGCACAGAAAGGCCTGATGTAGAAATTAAATTGGGAAAATAAATATTTTTGAGGCTCTGTTTCCATCCACTGTAGATTGAAAGGTGAGCTATAAACCTGAGATCAGTGTTTTCCATCATATTTGTGCATTTTTAGACCAACAGTGCTGGGAAGAGTTGCGTATTAACCACCATCTGCTTCATCACCCGTGTTTCTTCCTGCAGGAGAATTGCACCTAGGACAGACAGCTGATGGTGCCTCTTTTCATCTTTGTTCAGGAGCAGCTGTGGTTGTGGTACTGACTCTCATCTGTATTTCTTGCAGTGGCTTGGGATACATCACTGGGTCAAGTGTGAAGCAAGTTGCTGGAGACTGGCACTGGGCGTTGCGGGTAAGCCACGCTTAATAACACCTTAATAACAGTGGTGCTGGTTGATCAGTGTTAGGAAGAGTTCTATCGCACAATTCCTCAACCTGTTATTATATACAGAAGGTAAAGGATTAGAAATGACATCTGTGGTTATTAAGTGCATAGCAGATACATTCTCTAAGCAAATGGGAAAGGCATGTGGTTTTGGCTTGTTGTACTTGTTTTTTTCCGTGCCTGGGAGCAAGAATTTTCCAATCACTTTATTATCAGTCAACCATGATTTCTTGATGGGGATGGGAAGACGAGGCATTGGCCTTAAATCAACTCCACAGTCTTTCAGTCCCCTGCTGTCAAGAAACTCTGAGAATGGCTTCCTGCTTTGAGGAAAAAACACTTTGTTCCAATTTCCGCTTGTTTTTCTGCCCTGAGACAGTCGGTTTCCTTCTATTTTAACCTCTTGGGACCTTGATAAATGTGCTGAAAAGATAATGCACTCCAATCACATACGCACAAACAGATCCTGCACACAAAGATGTCTTGAAAGAGCTGAGAGGAAGTGGCCCAGCAAAACTGTTTTCTGACCTTTGGCGGCCGGGATGGCATGAACCCCGTGAGGGGCATTCCCTGGCTCTGGCACTTCATGAAGACAATGAATCCCATGAAGCTCAGGCCAATACCATTTCTAACAGCAGGTGATGAAATACACGGGTTCCCATCTCAAGCAAATGTGCCCTTCTGTGACAGAGGCCACTCCCTCTCTGTTCAGCGAGGTAAGCAAAGCCAGGAAAATCACCATGAACGGTTCATCTGGAGCTAGGAGAGTGGAGAGTAGTTTCCAGCTGTGAGCCTGAAATGAAAAATTTAATAGCCTACAGCTTCACACCAAGAGGGTGGCTACCTCATTCAGTAGCAGAAGTGCTTTAATGGCAAAATTAACTTTTAAGCTGAGGCCAGCACAAGGAATAAGAAACCCCAAAGCCTCTCCTGCTGGTCCGTGGGCTCTAATGAAGTTGATATATCGCAGCACTCTTGTGTTTCCATCTGTAAACCCCAAACGACTGATCTGTACAAAGAAATCCTCACTAGTATCTTTTTCTTTAGTTGAAGTCTCCACAGTTATCCTGACAAATCCAGACTGTCTGCAAGACTGTAACCATTATGGAGTCATGATTTCCACTGTAAATGACACATTGATGCATGATTCCCTGATTGTGCAAAATCGTGGGGAATCTGACAAGCTGCACACTTCTATGATGATTGCTTTGGACAGCATCACTTGATTTTCATAGTCAAACAGCACATGCTGAATGCTTCCAAGCATGGGCGTAAAGCAGCCTCCCTCCCTGTGGCAGGTTTGTGCTCTTGCAAGATGTACTCAATTCCCCTAGGTGATGCTTCCCTCCGTGATCTCCTCTGGTCTCCAAATCTGGGGGAGACTGTGAATACTCTGTACTTGGTGGGCTGAAGAAGACAGAAAGGCACATTGGCCATTGGCAGCTTTGTCTCTGGATCTAGCAGTAATGTCAGTGTTTCACTGGAGCATTACTGAGCATCATCGGATATTGTCCTGTTGCAGGATTAAGCCTTCAGATAAAAACCAAAGAGGCTTTAAATTATATGGCCCTAGAAAATTCCCAGCATTTCCTTGTTATTACCCATGCTGTGTCTTGTGTTCAGCTGTAATAAAGATATGGCATCAGGCTTCCTTTATGCCGGGATGAGGGATTTTCCTGACTTCCCAGGTCTGAAATATTTTTGTCTTCCCTTCCCTAGAAGAATCCTGGGTTTGTTGTCTTTGGATGTGAAACACTGCTTGATGTATAAAGGCCATTCTCAGGTTATTATTGGAAGCATATTTTTTTTGGAACAGGAATTTATTTTTAAAATGGCAGGTATAGAAGATATGATAGTTTGGTGAAAATCCATGCTCCTATGTTAGTAAGGGAGCTATTTGCCATTCTGACAATGGTGGAATTTCAGTCTCAAAACAAGAATCATGTTTGTAGCTTGCAAAACACTCTGGGATCTTTTTATTTTTGTCTAGTCACAGGGAGAAAGGATTGGAAACTGGGCAACCTAACCCTTGACCGTGTCATTTTCCTATCTTCCAGCCTGAATTTTCAGTGTTTCTTGGTCTGCTGTACACTGAGGTACTCTGAGGAAGCTGTGAAAATGGGAAGCTTCTGTGGGTTAGCTGGAATAGGAGTGCATGTCAAGCAAGCGTTTTCAAAGCTCCTTACATCCAGAAATCCTTCACCTGGCCTCATTGACTTTAAAAGGATTCTGCATTCTCCCAGGAGCTAGTTGGTTTCTTAGCCCAGCTGGGAGTAGGTTTCCAAAGAGTTAAACATCACTGGGGAAGCGTATTTAGATACATGTTGGTACTTCAATAACAGAAAGAAATGGACTGCCTTAATGTGAACATTCCCAAAGCTGCATGCTTCCAGAGTGAGATAAGAGTCCAGGGAATGTCAGGGAGGAAGGAAAGGAGCAGATGCCTCAGTGTGCTCACAGATTCCATCTAGCTGTAAAGAATCAAGTCGCTAAAACTAAACTACTGTAATCTGCTTCTTACTGACTAGTTAAAGCAAACCCTGCTGGCTCCTGTGCTAATTCCCTGTTCCTTTCTTGCAGGTATCTCCACTCCTGGGAATGATAACAGGGACACTCATCTTGATATTTGTACCTGCTGCTAAAAGAGGAAATGTTGAACAACTTGGGGGACAGCTGAAGGCTCGGACCTCATGGCTGAGAGACATGAAAGCACTGATTAGAAAGTAAGAGTGCTCTCCTAAAAAGCATGCTTTGCCTCTAATGCTTCACTGGAACATCCAGTGGCCTGTTCTTCTTAGCCCTGTGAGACTGGAAAGTGGCAACATGCAGGGAGTTGCAGGAAGCTTGGTCTGTGGGCTTAGGAATGAAAATCACAGTTACATTTTCATGAGGTATTGACAGCAATGACAGTGATGGTTTCCAACGTTTGCTCTAACCTTTCCAGGATTCAGATCTAAGAGAGTCTCTGCTTTGTTTGGCTCACACTTCAGACAAATCGAGGCTTTTGAAGTAGTGAAATTGCCGTGTTCCTGTATTAATTGTGCCACTGTTGTTCAGATGCTTAAATCCTTTTTCTTCCTTAAAAGAGCTACTCTGCTGAGGGGAAAAAGAGAGTTAAATGCCATAGCAATTTAAGAGGTGAAAACACACAAAAGCTTGCACTACATGGCAAGTTTAAATACGTATGTTTCTACAACGACATGTGACTGAATGCACAAGCACAGAATGCACTTGGGTGCTTGTATATGTGCATAAAAGATCACATGCTCACTCACGAGTGTTTAAGCAGCTGCACTTGCTTCCCTAAAACTTGCCTGTGAATGTGCAAGTACTTGCACTTGTGAATTCAGTGCTATATTGGAATTACGATGGGAAACTTGTGCTGTCTCATTTTTAGACCTGCTGGCTAGAAGGCCTTCCTGGTATTGTCATAGAATCATAGAATCATAGAATGGTTTGGGTTGGAAGGGACCTTAAAGATTATCTAGTTCCAACCCCCCTGCCATGGGCAGGGACACCTTCCACTAGACCAGGTTGCTCAAAGCCACATCCAGCCTGGCCTTGGACACTTCCAGGGATGGGGCATCCACAGCTTCTCTGGGCAACCTGTTCCAGTGCCTCCCCACCTTCTCTGTGAAGAATTTCTTCCTGATATCTAATCTAAACCTCCCTGTTTTCACTTTGTACCCATTACCCCTTGTCCTGTCACTACAGGCTCTTGTAAAAAGTCCTCTCCCAGCACCCTTGTAGGCCCCCTTCAGATACTGGAAAGCTGCAATGAGGTCTCCTCGGAGCCTCCTCTTCTCCAGGCTGAACAAGCCCAATTCTTGCAGCCTTTCGTCATAGGAGAGGTGCTCCAGCCCTCTGATCATCTTCGTATCCAGTATCAGAGGACTGTGAAGAGTGATGACTGTTAATTTATCAATATTTATATATTCCTTAGTTTGTTAGTTTATCCAAGTAGTAATTATATGGTGGCATGGATGGGGAGGGAGAATTGAAACTGGTAATCCAGGTAAAGAGGTGATATTACAGTGAAAGCCCTGTAATTCATACATCATGTCCTAGTGACTGAGTACTGATTGTCTTCTGAAACAGTCCCATGAAAAATGGTCTCTCTATCAGTGCAGCATGGAAGAAATATTCCATGCCTCTCATCCTCGATTGATTTGTACCTTGTACTGTCTCTGCCCCTTGGCAAAGAGAGGTGGGTATTATGGAGGAACACTGTTTTGCCACTGAAGTTCTGGCTCCCATCCTGGGACTCCTGCTCTTTCACTTTTCCCACTAAACCTTCTCGTGGTTTTGCATCTCCACAGCCGCAGCTACGTGTTCTCATCGCTGGCCACCTCAGCAGTCTCCTTTGCCACAGGGGCTCTTGGCATGTGGATCCCTCTCTACCTTCACAGAGCACAGGTCGTGCAGAAGACAGTAGAGACCTGCAGCTCACAGCCCTGCAGCACCAAAGATAGGTGAGATTCATACTCCTCTGCTCTAAGGAGGGGAAAAAGGGGTGGGGGCTTATTTGCCAAAGGAAACAGGCAAGTCCCATGGAGTCAAGTTACTAGAATGTCTGTAATTTCCTCTAGGTCTTTGCAACAATGATAGGAAATGCTGCGATTGTAAACTCGGGTTTATTTCTCTTCTTTTCTTCATTGCATGAAGTCAGACCGAGCGAGAAGCAATGACCTCAGCTCTGTCTTAGTTCCCAGGCTGTAGTACAAAAGTAAAAGAGAGACTGCTGTCTTTGTCTCGAAAGATGCTTGGAGAGCTGAGAGAGAATTTGGTTTAAGACCCACGCTGTTTTCTGTGACAGCACCAGAGTCATCTGGCAGATTGGGTAGCCAAAGTGGTGTCTGTGATTCAGGATTCCCCTAAAGTCTGCAGGGACTGAGACCGAAGACTTGTTTCTGTGTGAGGGAGGACTTCACGGTGTTTCCCTGCTCCGTACACTACTGTGTATGCTGAGTCTTGCTTAAAAATTGTGCAGAGAGCTGAGACGCTTTGGTCTGGATTGCTTGATGTTGCACTGCAGTTTGGTTTTTCAGTCCCAGTTATACATAATATCACTTGCAGCACATAAGCTATGAAAAGTGAGTCATTGTTTTGTGCTTTACCATGATGGCACAAAACATCAAATGCTAAAAAAGGCATTTCTCCAGGTGAATAAAAGATACAAACCCCTGATTTTTTTCAACCCTTTTGCTTCTCAGCTTGTGAGGGAAAAATAACATTAGGAAAACCTTCTTGTTCTAGCTGACACAATCCCATCTCAAGTAAACTACTTAGTGGTTTGGAGTACCATCAACTACAGCTCCCAGCAGGCAGTCTTGGTGTATTCTGCAAAAATGCAGTGAGACTGCCCATCTGCTCCTTGCAAAGAGGAGTTTTCCACTCCTGGATGACACGTACATTTTGAGCTGCCCTGGAGCTACTGTAATGTAGTTGCCAAAGACTCTGTAATCCAAATCCCACACATACAATACGGAGAATCCTTGACAGCTCCTAGCTCTTTAAATTTAAATTAACACATTTCAAACGTGTAATATAACAGCGAAATAATCTAACTGGGCTTCTTTGAAGTGGTCTGAAAGGAGTTAGAAAGTCAGAGTATGTTGAAAGTCACTGGTATTTGGAGTCTTGTTAGGTTTCTTTTCCCTTAAGGTTCCTAGTGCCTGCTCTTTCCATGATTTCCCATTACATGTGCAGGTTATTACTTAGTTTTGGGCATACACAGTTCACTTGATAGGAAGCTCGGTTCCACACAAAGAAGCAGTATGGGCCCTTTGCGTGTCTTTGTGGCTTGATCAAGGCTGAATTTCATCTGCTGTGTTTTTCTTAATTTCAGGGGAAGAGTGCTAAAATCACAAGCACTCAGCAGGGAGCTCATTTGTTGTATTTTAAACTTGCAAAGTCAATGTGCAGATTTCCATTAGTCAGTTTACTAATAATTTATTCAAAGATGTTTTTGTGAAAAACTCCAAAATGTAACTGTCTCTTTTTTTTCTTTTTTCTTTTTTCTGATAGCTTGATCTTTGGCGCTATCACTTGCTTCACTGGTTTCCTCGGTGTAATCACAGGGGCTGGAGCAACCAAATGGTGCCGGTTAAAAACCCAGCGAGCTGATCCTCTTGTCTGTGCTGTTGGCATGCTAGGATCAGCCATCTTCATCTGTCTGATCTTCGTTGCTGCCAAGAGCAGCATTGTGGGAGCCTATGTAAGTATAATCCTTTGCATACGCCAGTCTCTCTCTCCCCCAAACTCCTTAGAAGACTGTGTGCATTGTCTCCTGCAGGAAGCCTGAGATACTGGTCTTGCATTCCCCCTCTTCCATGTCCTTCATTTTGCCCCTTGGCATTTTGGCACTATCTAGATGTGCCTGGAAGGAAAGTGATGTCTCAACTTCTTATCCCCCTGCTCAGTGTCACCAGAATTTAGAGCTGGGTATTTAGCACAAGCAGGGAAACCCACAGTTCCCTGCCTTTGGGTTGTTCTGTCTATACCCCTATCCATACCTCTGTCGCTCTTGCCCGTTTTTTTGGTACAGGAAAATTGGCCACTTCCCTTACAGTAAGAGAGCTGTAGCTGCAATGGTACCAAATTATAATTACAGTGCAATTGGTCTGTGGGCATGCTTTTGGCTACCTATATGTGCCATTAATTTCCATAACTAGATAGCTTGTTGCAGACCAGTAGTAATTAACATGTCATTTCAATTTGTTATCTATATTACTGTAGCACCTGGAAATCCTAGTCATAGCCCAGGAACCCACAATAGATGCTGCAGAAATGCAGATTAAACTGTGGCCTCTCCCAGAGTGTTTCTAATCAAAGTATATAAGAAGACATCAAATCCAGACAAATAGGCTGAAGGGAAAAGGAAAATCTGAAGTATAATAATCCAGCCTCAGGCTAGAACCTTGCTTTCAGCAGAGCAGAAATCCAGTACACTGAACGGGTCCCAGGTTCCCGTTCAGTGTAGTAGAGAGAAGCCTGGGGCCTGGCAGAAGCTTTGGAAGGGAAAGCTTGAGATGAGTGGTGTGGTGGGATAACTCCTGAAAGCCCACCCTTAGCTTCCTCATGGCAGTGCCCACTCCACCCAGCAAGGAGAATTCATTTGCAATTAACCATTCTACTGTGGTTCCTTGTTTCTCTATGTTTCTAGCACCAGCCTAGCCCTGGCTGTTTTCTGAGCATTTCAGTAGCTGCCATCGTTATGGGGAAACACAAGAAGAAAGAGTGATGGTTTAAAAACATTAAGGCAGAACCAAGAATTTCTACTCTGGCTCTTTACAGAGTGCCAGAAGGAGTCTCGGTCCTTTGGTTTGTGGCGTGGTCTGGAACTCACCTTCGATTCAGTGATCAGCAGGACAATGGTCACCTCAGGCTACCTGTGAGATGGTGTTACTGGTTGGCCAAGCATTAACCCTCCGTTCATCAGCAGCCGTCTCCGAGGAGAGAGACCTGTCCCATCCCTCGGTCTGCCCCTCCCCTCCACCTCTTTGTGCAGCCAGGCCTGAGATTTTCTCCTTTCTTAGACCTGATGACAGTCGTGTTTGTTAGTGGTGTTTAGTGTCTTTATGAGGACAGTTCTCCCTTTCAAAGCTGGAAATACTTTTTTCAAAAATTTTGGTCGTTGTTGGTCTCACTTTAATCTTTTTTCTGTTTTGGTTGTTTTTTTTTTTTAATAGCCATGTGACTGTTCTTCATTCTACAAATATATAAATTTGGATGGTATTATTTAACCAATCTTAGAAACAATTTATTTTATTATGCATGAGCAGTAAATCTAATAAAGAGTCAATGATTTGCAAAGGAAGTTACATCTGCATATGGGGGGTATGAGGAATATAAGCCTGTTTGCTGATGCTGCTAGGCTGATGCATATATTTGCTGCAGGTAGCACTGCCTCTACGTAGCCCTAAACATACTTACTCTGCTGCTGGAAACCTGGTTCACTGAAAGCAGATAGGAGTCTACAGGTGCCAATTGGGGAATCTATAGATTCTACACGACAGAGGACAAGCTGCTTATTAACTTTGTTTTAGCTCTGCAAAAATGAGTGTTCTTAGCTTAGAAAGGGTCGGGATGGCTTAGATCATTCGTGTTGGTACATCACCCAGGTTCGATGACCTGTGGCCAAGTCATAGGCTATACCTTAATAGAAAACAAGGGCACAACACCTGTTAGTGGTGTTGTTTGGTGTTACAGATGCTAACCCCTCTGAGAGAACAGGTCTGTGTTGGAGCTACCAGTGTCTCATAACACAAGGTATTGTCATGGTGGTGTTTTTCCATGCCATTCAATGCTGTTGCAATCTTAGAGACCTCCAGAGTGTTTCATTCCCTTGCATTTCCCTAGGAGATCTCTCTTGCAAGGTTGTGCGGTATAGCACTTCCTCATTAGTGCCTGGCTTAAGTCTCATTGGTCCAAAATGAAGGAGAGACTGTTCTCTGACTCTGGAGTTGGAACACCTAAGTATGGTGGACAGCATGATGGACTAGGTTACCTTCCTTACCTCCAAATCCATGATAATAGCTTGTTCTGGAAAGAATACAGTAAAATGTGTGGGTGGATTTTCTCATGTCTGATAGCTTCCTTGACAGCTGTGTCCTGGCTCTCATCCTGAAACAGCCAGGGCAGTTCCGTGAGTTCTGTATGGCTGTGAAAGGCAAGAGCAATGTTCTGGTCTGTTCCCCAACGTGGTGGTGGTTCTGTACTGTGACTGTCCTTAGACTTCTGCCATTGATCACACTGTGCTGAAATTGAAGGGTTAATGGGTTTGGACCCTTCAGTGGCTCAGAGCCTTAAAAATATCACTTCCAAGCATTTAGATGGGTCCCCATGAGATGATGTTCTCTCACACTGATATGGTGGCTACCAGATCACCATCTCCCTCCCTACTCTAGTTAACAGTCAAGTTCTTAATTTCAGCTGATACCAACGTCATCTTAAATGTTTAGCACTCCAGCGAGAACCCACAGAGCTATTGCTTTTTAATTTCTTGGCTTTTAGGGTTTGGGGTTTTTTTGAAAAGACCTACATATCCTTTGGCATGGTCGACTTGTCCCTTACAGGCTGTCAACTGTCTGCTTCCTTCCTCCCCTGAACACACGTACTTTTTCTCCCCTGCTCAGTCCTGTCTTGCAGGTGGTTTTGGGAAGCTGCTGTTCCAGTTCTGTAACAGCCACTCCTACCTGGAGCAGGTAGACACACTTTTTTCCATCCAATCTTTTCATACTAATCCAGTAAATTATTGGCAGTGCTAGAAGTGGCTGTAAAGGTGGAGTAAAACAGCTTTCTGTGTCACTTAGCTGCCCAGACACTTGTAGTTCTCTTTTACTGTCTTGCTTGGCTGTGTAGTCCAGTCAATTCTTGTAGGTATTTTGTGTGTTGTAGTCCAGCTCCTTAAAACAGTGATTTGCATATCTTCAGGTCCCACTCTTTCTGAAATACCTACTCCTTGAAATGTTGGTTTTCAAAGCTGTCTCCTGAAACCTGTAAAAAAAAAAAAAAAGCTGTACGGCATCACCCTACTCACACATTTCAACAGCAGATTTTAGACTAGTTTAAATCTCCAGATGACTGGAGAGAGATGCTTTGCCTTCCTTTTGACACTGTTCCAAGTTCCTGTGGTACCTCAGTTTCAACATTTATTTCAGTTCCTCAAAGACATTTTACCATCTTGCAGAAACAGCAACTCCCAGGGTAAAACCTTACCACAGAGCTTTTACAGCCTCTGAGGCTCAACTCCAGGGGCTTTCTGTTGACATGATGCTGGTGACTTACCTACTCTGAGGCACCGACATTGCCCAACACTGAGATGGAGTTAAACTTGCTTCAAATTCGAGAGCACGTGTGGGAGTCTTACCCACCATTTCAAAGAGAAGTACAGATAATGAAGATGTAGACAGATACGCACTCTGCAGATTACCATGGAAGGAGTTCATAGCCTGCTTAGATCTTGCTGTGAGAGCTGCTGGTGCGACCATTCCAAAACCTACTTTACTTACCATTTTTGTGAATCAAAACTTGCTAACTGGCTGCATAAACAGAACACTCGAGGGGGGCATAAATTCTGGCAACTCATCACAGGTGAGCAACTGGACACCAAGTGGAGATGGTGAGATCTTATATAACACCGCTGGGCTCAGAAGAGGATATATCTGTAGAGCTGGAATCTCAGTGTAAAATGAGGCTTTGCAAAGCGTGTGAGGAATCAAAACCGTGACCATTTCAGGAGCTATTGATCTTGTTCTGGAGGCTGCCCTATTTGCAGTAAGCATCCCTAGAGCCTCTCTCCAGCAGAAATGCCACATATCCTCATATGCCCTTTGCAGGGAACGAACTCATTTTTATAAATCCCCCATTAGCAGCTGAAGGACAGACTTTTTTTAACGCCAGTACCTTTTGTCCTACTTTTTGATCTTCTTGTTCCTCTTTTACCAATATCCACATATTAAGCGGGTGTTTCATGGAAACATGTTGGATGAAATACACATTCAGCAGTTCAAAACTGATGTGCTCTGAAGTTTGTAGCATTTCAGTGATTTATTTATAGGCCTTTTGCTGAATTCCTGCAGAAGGGGACAAGTTTTACTTGCTGCATGTAACCGTGTGTGTATGGAATTTATATAACCTTAAGGCAAGCAGTTGCCTGTTTGCAGTACTGTATGAACAGGCAGGGCATGTCGATGCCGCCTTCAGAAGTGTGATTACATCTTTCCCAAGTTCAAGTTAATCTATCCAGCCACAGAACCCCAGCAACAGCACCTGCAAAGCTGTAGTAGGACAGATTTCAGAGCGGGTCCTGGGAGCCCACCTGGGACTCCGGTACACCCACGCTGCATGGCACATGGCTTCACCTCCCGTCAGCACCTTGATTCATTGGATCTGTGTTTCTCAGCTTGGCAGTTGTCATTGCCAGTGAGAGTTCCAGGCAAACCAGTGGACAGTGGGAAAATGGAAAGATGATCAGAGGGCTGGAGCACCTCTCCTATGATGAAAGGCTGCAAGAGTTGGGCTTGTTCAGCCTGGAGAAGAGGAGGCTCCAAGGAGACCTCATTGCAGCTTTCCAGTATCTGAAGGGGCTACAAGGGTGCTGGGAGAGGACTTTTTACAAGAGCCTGTAGTGACAGGACAAGGAGTAACGGGTACAAATTGAAATCAGGGAGGTTTAGATTAGATATCAGGAAGAAATTCTTCACAGAGCGGGTAGGGAGGCACTGGAACAAGTTGCCCAGAGATGCTGTGGAGGCCCCATCCCTGGAAGTGTCCAAGGCCAGACTGGATGGGGCTTTGAGCAACCTGGTCTAGTGGAAGGTGTCCCTGCCCATGGCAATGGTCTTTAAGGTCCCTTCCACCCCAAACCATTCTGTGATTCTATGATTCTATGATATTTCCTAACTGACCAGCTGGGCCATAATGACTGGCTCAGCCACCATCACAGAGGAAGCAGATCCAGTCACAAAAAGAGGGGATAGAGAGGGAGAGTGTCTGGGGAACAAAGATGATTTTAGAAACAAATAGAGGAAGCTTTCTGTAGGTCAATGCATAAGACTTGCTAAATAAGGCAAAGTATTCCTGGCAGTGACATGATGGTCTGGGGGGTTTAGGCAATCTCAGCTGGTGTGTGGGAAGGACAACTGTAGTGGTCACATCAGAGCCATAGGTGCCAATCCTGCAGTTCCTCCTCCCACCCCAAACTGTGCAGGCAGCAGAGAGCAGGGTGGTGGCCATGGCTGTCAGAGCCCCTCAGAGCTCACAGGAACACCACGCAACAGCATCCATCTGAATGTTTCCTCAGGGCAAAGCCTACCCTCTATTTCTTGCCAGCTTTGTTTCATTAATGAATTGTAGCCTCTTTGACATAACAAAAGCTGAACATAAGGCAATTAAAAGGGGAATCTTCATGTACCAGAATCCAAATCTCCATAGCTGTCATCTCCAACTACCAATAGGGATTCCAGGAGTAATGTTTTTTCTCTAGATGCTACAAAAATAAATGGTCTAGTTGGGCAAAAAGCAACCTTTTGGGGGACATCTAGTAAAGGAATTTTGCTTGCCTTCTTGCTGGCAGGAAACTGGGGAGCTGGGTTTTTACATTTCTGGTTATTTACGTAGCACTTTACCTATGCATTCTGCTCTTCATCATACACAAAGGAAGAGGGAAACCTGTGTGGAAGATTTTCCATCCGTGTTTTTTCGCCCTGTTGAACCTACGTTTTTTCATTAAGTTGTTAATGTGCAGCATAAAAGAAAATGTTTCATGATTGAAATATGGGTTAAAAGCTTTTTGATGAAGGCAGCGTTCCTCCTGAAGTTGTGTCACCCTTGCTCCATTAGACCCAGTTTGATGAACGTTTAATGATGAGGCCAGGCTAAATTAATTTCTCCTCTTGATCATTTCCAGTTCTTCCAACTGCTTTGTTTGTAGAACTGTTTAATGAACTGTAATCAGGAAACTGATTTGGGATAAAAATAAGAAAACTGAGCAAACCAGGCTCCTCTTACCCTACCTCCCTCCCATCAAAAGAGGCTTTGCTCCATCTCAGTTTCCTGATGGGAATCCCTGCTTGGCTCCGTTGTACCAGCCCAACCGAGAAGGCACTATGGGAATGGATAAAGTGAGGAGGGATTATCAGAGGTGGAAAGGATATGTGGTGGCTGTTCATACCACACCAACACACAGAGAAGCTCTCATCCCACTACCCACACAGGGTTTTTAATGTATCTCGTTGAGCACGTGCAGAGTCAAGAGTTGTATTTCACCGTAAAACACTGATGTTGCAAAACTCATACTTAGGTCCTGTCCTGACTGTACGTAGGTATTACCAGACCTACGTCCCCCTCAAAAAAGACAGCAATATGCTAGCAGAGGAGGGAAGGGATCTTGCACATAGTGGGTAGAGAACCTCACTTGGTTTGCTACAGAGGTTAATGCATAACATGCTTCCTAGCGATGAAATGACTATGTTTTGGGGAGTTGTGGCCTTCTTGCCTTTTCTAACTGGCTTTTTGGAACTGAATGATTTAAGTATGGAAGCTCAGGGTTGTCTCTTCTTATTGCCTTCTCATATTCTTCTGTTTCCAAGTTTGTCAGCCTTTTATTTAGCTGCTCTGTAGGTTATAAACAGTTTACACTAATTAAGTTGCAGGCCAACCTTCTAGAGTTCTGATAAAAATCTGTAGTTTTCTAATATCCAGGATAAACCACAACAGCAACCAGGAGTGTAGTGTGTACAGAGGAATCCTTTGAGCAGGTTTGAGACAAATAAACAACAAAGGAAGTTTGTGACAGGTTATTTTTCCTTTGAATGTCAACTGAATAAATCTTCTCCTTTTTGTGTGTTTTGTTACAACAGATTTGCATTTTTATCGGAGAAACTCTTCTGTTTTCAAACTGGGCTATCACAGCAGACATACTAATGGTGAGTGTACTTTGAAACAGCATATTTCTCTTCTGGTGGCCAGAGCAGTTTGTCAGCTTGCAAGAACAACCTGAAGTTCACAATTTCTTATAAATGCTTAGCCCCTACTTCAGCCTGTTCTTTTTAATTTTTTTTTTTCCCACTTGCTGAAAAAGAAAATGAGGGAGAGAGAGAAAGAACAGGGAGAAAATGAGGGAGAGAGATTCTTCTTGTCCTTTGTTCTGAGTGCCAGGGAGAGGAGATGCCCAGAAACGACACCAAGTATTTGTGCAAAACTCCACATGCAAAGAAATCACCCAGCATTTTCTAATAGTCAGCACATTAGTGGATTTTGTTATCGATAACTCAGCTTTGTCCTGCAATAGGAAATCCTTTCCTCCCTCCCTCCCTCCTCTGCCCACAAAGGCAACTATCTACCTCTCTCTTTGGCTTAACTCCAGCAAACCTACCATTCAACACACACACAATACAAAACCACCTCTGGGAGAGGAGAGAGGAAAAGAAAGTATAAAGAATGTTTGGACTATGTCCACCTTGTCCAAGAGGAAACTGTCAGGGATTTTTCACCTCGTGTCCTTCATTTTCCATTCTTTCTCCACCACAGACCTTTTTAAGTCTTTCAAATCAGCAAAGCTGACATCCGCAGCTAGATTTTCATATGAAGTAGCCTGGACGTTGTTAGAGAGCCTTGCATGTTATGTAGATGCTTCTGACGGAGACGTACAGAGCCTATCAGACATGCTGTATATTGAAATCCCATCGTGAAGGAGGCTGTTTGTTGCTTATTATATGAAAAAGAAAGAAACTAGGGCACAGAACCATTACAGGACTTGCCCGAGGTCTTTTGGCAGGTTGTTGACAGAACTAAAAATACAATCAGTCTGGCATCAATGGAAAACTCCCTTGACTTGTATTTGTTGCTTATGCAAACAGCAGTGTGAAAACAACCTGGCTCAGTATGCCGAGATGTAAAGATAATGGGTTGATATATTGATTCAGCAAAGAGCTTCTGCTTAGGTTTTGAAGTTCAAGGTTGTGCGTGTGTTTGAAGGTAGCTCTGTAGTTTCCCGAACTGCGTTGCCTGATGAACTTTCAATCTTGAACTCATTTGTGCAGAGAACGCTTTGGGAGGTGGGGTGAGGGTGTTAATTCCACTTCTCTCAGATGTGAATGAAGCACAGGGAACCAAAGGTTGTCAGTGTACTTCAGTAGCATTCGATAGCTTTTAATTACCGAGGTTGGTTCCTCCTACCAGTTTAGTGTGATGAAGTTCTGCATGGACTGAGGGGGTGTTTACTCTGTGCTTACGTGGGTTTGCAGCTTGTGCTGACTTCCGGGTTGCTGTCTTCGTTCATTCAGTGGTACCTCAGCACTTAGCCGTGTGCTGGCTGAGTCGAGGAGGAAATAGTCCCGTACTCGCAGTTGCTCATTGCTGCCTCCTGCCAGACCTCCTGCCGCATCCTGCCTTTGGCTGTCCCGTTCGCAGCCCAGAATTACCTGACTGGCTTGAATAGCAAATCTTTTATATCACGGCAGCATTGGCTGAAATAAGGGCCATGGAGTGCGTCGCAGTCCTCCAGCAATGAGGTGGTGGTCATCTCTGCTGCCGACACAGGCAGCTGGAGGGAGGGTACCTGTCGGACGTGTTCAAGGTCCTCCAGAAAGTCTGTGCCAGAGAGGGAGCTGAAACACGACCTATGTTGTCTCAGGCTAACCCCAAAAGACACTTCTCAACCAGCTATTTTGTTATATCAAGGTACTAAGGATGCCATCCTTGTCCCGTTCTAATTACTGAGATCTTTTAGAGTTGATTTCAGTGTGACTTAATTGTCCTGTAGCCGTTTCATAGTTTTTGTAGAGTTTGCCGCCCATCGTTTGTGACCAGCATCCTAGAGCCAGTTGTGTTTTGTGGGAATGCCTTTGCACTGTTTGTGGTGCTTTAGTGCAGAAGAACTCCGTAAGAAATGATTGGAAATAATTAGAAGGAATTTCTTACTTCCAAAACACAGGAAAGAAACTAAACCCATGTTTTAAAAATGGGATTTTGGTAATTGTTGCCAACTCTTAAGCTAGCTATTCTCTTGTCTGCTTAGACAAAGGAACTGAGTGTCATATATAATGCCCAGCTTAATGCATTATCAGCACGAGTGGACCTGTGAAAGTGATGTACAAACGGATGTAAACATCCCCTTAGATCAACACAGGCCTGTAAACAGAGGGTCTGAAGTGCATTCACATTACCCAAGAGGCTTGAGAGGGTGTTTAATCAGACAATAGGTGAGAGCCTGGGCTATAACCGTGTTTGACAGACAGCTTTAAAAGAAGCCCTAGCCAGAGAAAGGTGCGGATGTGCTTTAGCGAGATGAACTTTAAATGTTTGGCCAATTAATTTCTACTGATTACTATTTATTTGGTGTAATCAGAAGTGTGTCTGTTCTTGCCTGAGGCTGGTAGAAGAGTTTAAAAGCATTATTAGCGTAAGCCTAACAACGCTTTCATCATATACATAAATATTATTCTGTTTTCATGGATAAAAAGCTCTCAATACTGGCTGAACACTGTTCCCACTGATTTCATTATGCCACAAGTCAGGCGTTGTGGAAACTGCATCCCAAATGGTTTAGCATAGCTCTCCCAAGACCTACAGATCTCATGACTGCTGAAGAACCCTATCTTCTGGTAAGCATCTTCAGAGGTTTTGCTAGTTTAATTTCCTTGGCAAAAGAAGGTTGTTTGCTTATTATCTTCCAATTTAATTGTTGGCTCTTTGTAGCTTTGGGCTTCCATTGCCTCTGCCGTTGTTGCCAGTGTAGCGGTCTGTGTGCAGCTCCTCAGAGTGTCTGCAGTAAAGGGTCCTGAGTGCTGGGATGGATAAACTGTCAGCACTGCAGAATCCACTGCACTGCCTGAGATTTTAAAGGGCTGATATTTGTTCCAAATGCAAATTTGTACAAAACAGGCCTTATTCTCCTGAGCACGACTCTCCAGATCTCCTCCCAGGCACATGCTCAGATGGTGCTTAGGGAAGAGGGGAATGTTTCTTATGGAGCATGCTAATTATGAAACAGATTTTATTAGCCATCTTTGCAAATTGGCCTCAAAATTACCAGAACCCCAAAGTAGCATTAAAACTGCCTTGTAATGGCAATAATGAATGAGCTGCAGTGCAGCAGGCAAGCGTGTAACATTCGGAGACTTGCTGAGTGCTTGGGACTTTGTGGAAGCTGCTCCTAGTAGTGGGGTTTTTCCTCCATAGCACACCTCAAAAATAAAGATGATGGGCAGAGGCTTGGTGGCATTTCTGTGTAAGAGCCAGTAGGCAATTTGAAGGGTCTCAGCTACTGCAGTCATGATGTCTGTAGGTCTTTGCTAATAAAAGCCATCCTCCAGTTTATCCGGAGCCCTCATGCACATGCAGACAATGCTCTGCCTATTTATTTTTTAAAAACATTAGTTCTTCTTAAATGATCACGAGGTGCCATGGAGGAGACTATGGAGGAGACTAGCCTTGATGTTTTGCTGCAGTCAAAGACTTCCTTTAGGCTTTAAACAGGCATAGACTGGTGCTCAGCTGTGCTGTGGGCATGGAGGAATGTTGCTTTTGTTCTGATTACCTTCCCTATAAATAAAACCCAATTCTTTATGTAGTAGAAAATACTGCCCTATTTTTACAGGTGAAGATAAATAGCATTTCCAGAAGTTCTCATTGTTGGTTCTCTCAGTGTGCCTCCAACGTCAGCAACCTGAGTGCTGTGGTTAGATTTTTAGGCCGGGTGCGGAGAGCCTTTGACTGACGGTACACAGCCCTCTTCCAACGCTTGAGCACAGCCCTGACCAGGAAGGATGTGCCAAGGGGCATCTCTGCAGGTCTGTGGGCCAGGGGTTGCAGTGGATGTCCGTGTTGTGCTGTGATTTAGAGACCAGGTCAGCCTCCTTCTACTTCATCTCAAAAGTATTTTTTTTCCAGGCTGGTTTCTCTGGATCACAGCTGTTGCCTTTTCTGAACAGGAGTTACAACGGGGCACCCAGATTATGTCCAAGCTCTGTCAGTGGCTGGAACGGAGTTCTCTTTGCCTTTGGTGCTGAGATGCCACTACATGATGTCCTGAAGATTTCTGTCTGACCCAGAAAGGGTAGCAAGTTCTCTGAGAGTAGAGTTTTCTGTCAAAGATTAGACATGAGGACTCACCTCTTTTCTACGTGGCCTTTCTGGGAGTAGGGTGATCTCTCCTGGTTCTCGTATTTCAGACCAACTCATTCTGCTGGTTTCACTGCAGGAAGGGATGTGAGGAGTAAACCATGGCCTTTCTGAACTTCTATTTAAAGAGGAGAGGTTTGCCAAAGCTGCTTGGTCAGCCTCCCTGCCCAACCCCGGTGCTGCCTGCCTCTGAGCCTGGCATCAGAGATGAGCCAGAACAATCCCACGGGCTTCTGCCACAGCTCCTGCGGATGGCTCTCCCACCTCCGGTTTCTGTGGGATGTCCAAACCAGGCCATGTATGGTTTGAATTTAGGTCTATTTTAGTAGCAAAATGCCCATTTAGAGCTGTAATTAACTGCTGTCTTCCTAGAAGAGTAGATAATGTGTGCGGCCAACTACTTCCTCTCCATCAGAATAAAATGCTTTTTAAGCAGCGTTGGGGTGGGGGTTTGGTTTTTGACGCTTTTTTTGGTGTGTTTTGGAGATGCTGGTTTAAGCCTTTTTTTCTTATCAATCTCTTTTTAGAGGAGGAGGAAAAGTCTCATGTTCATTTCCTTCCTGCATATTGGGTTTTTGGTTTGGGGGGTGGTGTGCTGTGTGGGTGGTTGTCCCTTAAATTGCAGACTACATTTACTAAGTTTTGGCACTTTATAGCACCCAACTTCTTTAGCTAGGCAAACTGAAAATATGGTGCAAATTGTCTTGGTACTTGCAAAACTACATGTGTGCATAACACAGCTCTACATGCAAAATTATGTATAGTATGTGTGTGTGTGTTGGTGTGTATAGATTAGAATCTTTTAGGTTGGAAAAGACCTTTAAGATCATCAAGTCCAATTATTAACCCAACACTGCTCATACCACCACTAAACCATGTCCCTAAGCTCCTCGTCCACACATCTCTTAAATCCCTCCAGGGATGGTGACTCAACCACCTCCCTGGGCAGCCCGTTCCAACACCTGACAACCCTTTCCGTGAAGGAATTGTTCCTAATATCCAGTCTAAATCTCTGGTGCAACTTGAGGCCTCTCACTTGTCACTTGGGAGAAGAGACCGACCCCCCTCCTCTCTGCACCCTCCTTTCACATAGTTGTAGAGACCTATAAGGTCTCCAGGCTAATATAAATATATTAATATCTTTATAAATGTAAATATAAATATGAATTATATATCTAAATATGAAGTATAAATATATGTATGTATGCACACATAATGCAGGTGTCATTCAAACTTCTTTCTCAAATTGACATCAATTCACTGCCACTCCCTGAAAATAATAAGTTTTGAATAAATTTGCCATTTCCTTTGGCATTTTGCTAAGAAAATGGATAAAACATACAGCCAGGGAAGCTTTCTCCAGATTTATCAACATAAACTTTATAGAAAGAAAAGTATTTTAATGTAAGTTTAAGATTCTGTGTTTCACAAGTCTGTGCAACTCTGGACTCCTGAATTAGGTAGAATTTCACTACTCAGGTGCCTTTTCTCAAGCAGCTCTTGCAGAACGCTTCCCCCTTGCATCTCTGTGAACTGGGGCCAGGTGGGAAGAACAGTGACTTTTTTTCCTTCTGTCTAATCTATCCAGGTTGCACCCATTACCCTGCACCTTCGGGGAATGGTAATGGATTGAGTGCCTCTCCTGCTGGTTCACAGTGTGACCGTCAGTGTGTTTCTGTGTCTCTGATGAAGCCTAGACCTTTTTTAGCTCTTGGGATTCCTGTGAGCCTTCAAGTCTGATCTCCTGGGTGCAAAGGGACAGTATCTAACATCCGCAGCCCGGCGGCTGCTGTGGATCTGATCATCCTCTGCGCTTCTGTTGCACAACAGGAGTTTAACAGGGTTCCCATTTAATATGTGACATCCAAGGGCATTAGCAGTGTGCGCTTGCAGTTTTGTCAAACCAGTAATGAAAGAACTGGCAGGTCATTCTGGAAGCACATGGTAAAACCCTAAGGAAAAGCATTTAATCTAATTTCACCCATCATTCCTAATTGTCTCTGCTTGGATTGAGATGATCATTCTAAAGAGACATCAGTTCTCTCCTAGTGCGGATTTTCTCAGCACCGTTTCATTTCTTCCCTTATTTGATGGCTAACTCTTCCGGCTGCAGACGGGGCAACTCACCTTCCCTAAGAGGAAGCGTTAAAGCACTGAAATAGTGCTTCAGACCCTGCGCCCTGAGATACGTCACCTTTGAGCAGTGAGTTCTCCTCCCTCAGACAGCTAAGGTAAACTCATCTCTGTGTAACTCTAGCTGGGGATATGCCGGTCCTGAAATGTCACATTCAATTAATTAATGACTTCAGGAAAGGGTTGTGAGAACGAGTTGAAGGCTGGGAAGGCGTGCCTTCTAAAGAAAGGCTGAAGGCAGCCCGTCAGAGAAAGTGGACAAGTAAAAGGGATCGTGATGTACAAATAGCTAAACAAGAGGGTCATTCCTGGCAGGGTAGATGGCTCTGCAGAGCAACGGGAAAAGGCAGAACAAGGTTCAGTGCTTAGAAGTGGAAACAAAGCTCCCTTGGATTTAGAGACTCATTGACTTCTTCGTTGCTTACAGCCTGTAAATTGAAGACAGGATCTATTTCTACACCAGGAGGTGTGGGCTGGATGCAGATGTTCTTAGCCAGCTTCTTTCACGAGTTTTATGCAGGAGGCTTTTTTCTGCTCCTAAATTTGTATTACAAAATTAAGGTAATTCCACAGGATGAGGGTTTGTTGGGTTTTTTTCTTTCTTAATTTTAACGCCCTTCCATGGTCAGGGCTCTGTTTTCTCTGAGCTCTCGTCTCTTATGGGGGAAATAATTTGTGTTTTCCACTGATCCTGTGTAGTCAGACTGATATGGAATGACCTGGCTGAGGCTGTCACATCCTGTTAGAGGAGTGGAGACCAAACTGCAATATCTTAGCTATGGAAAATCTTCCTAATGTGTCTTTTGTGATTCTACTCGTGAAAAGTGACAATTTTTGAGAAAAAAAAAATTAAGTGACTAGTGATGGAGTGGGAAGGGAGGATGTGTGACCTTTTATACCAATGTGAATTGCTTATGGTTTAGGGAAAAAAAGGTATCTGTATTATGGAAAAAACACAATATCCCAGGAGACAGCAAAGTCCTCATGTGGAAGGCTGGCGACACTGAGCAAGATACGTGCTGCAGGCAACCTCCACCTTCGCTCTCCCCTCAGCCAAGCAAAATACAGGCTGAGAGCAACAGCAGAGTGTCTCATGGCAAAGTTGTTACTCAAACACATGCATTCAGTGCTGCTGGAGAGGAGTGCTGACTGGACAGAACTTCCTTCCCTCCACGTCTGCCCTTGGGGGCACCGGAAAGCCAGGAAGGGCAGCAGACCTTCCCAGTTGCTTGAGCCACCCATGGACTGGACAGTGGCCGTGTCTGCTGCTGACACTTGGGGGCTTGTTTACTTTGTGCTGACCTGGGCATAAACTGAGCAATACAAGGTGCTTTAGTTCAGTTTCCTTACGTCTTTGGTTTTTTTCTTTCCCCTTTTTCTTTGCAGTATGTGGTCATTCCGACACGGCGTGCAACCGCAGTGGCCTTGCAGAGTTTCACTTCGCACCTCCTGGGAGATGCTGGCAGTCCTTATCTGATTGGATTTGTAAGTGCTCACAGCAGGTTTTGGCAGGGTTGCCTGCCCATGTTTGGTTTTGTTTACTAACTGCTTATGTAAAATGCCGAGTGAACCGGGAATGCGAGGGAAGGAAGGGCTGCATTTATGAGCAGAATGGGAAGTGGTGCAGTGCAATGCAACTTTTTGACACACTTGTTGCCTGTGGGCTACAATTCAAACTCGAAGGACCTCTTGGACACAAGAAGTGAGCTTCTAAATCCTTTCAGCCTAGGGCATTGGTAAAGCTTATAGACAGCTCTGGAAAGGGAGAGTGGTTGCTTCTGCGATGCAGACATCGCTCCTTTAGAAATTAATTTGGAACGGAGTCTCGTGAGTGTGTTGAAGCGTTAATCTGGTCTCATAAACCAAATATCTGTTGATGAGTAGCAATACGCAGCTGTTCTGACCTGCTGATATTTTGAACTTGTTTTGTATGATAATAAATGATAGTATAAAATCCATGGTGGGGTGGGTGTGTATGTTTTGGGGCTTTTATTATTATTCCTTTCTGGTGTGTGTGCTATGGATTTTTATTAGTAGTAGTCCTTTCTATTCCCGCTGCAGTTGTTGGCCTTGGATAGACTGGAGATCTCCCTTATTACGTCACCATTATCCTGGTGCAGAGCAAAACAAAAGACCTTGCTCCAAAATCAGAGAACATTCGCAGTTGAAAATATAAGGCCTGGGAAATTTAATGAGGAAAAGAAATCTAGATATACTGGGATAATTTCTTTCCCTTGCACCCTTGTGTGGAGTTTGATGTATTGAGTTTCAGAGACCACAGATCATCCCTCATGAAATAGAGTAGCTTCCATGTAAAGCCTTAAGTGGCACTGCTCATGTTGTGTTGGAGGTGCTACAGTTTTCCGGTGATGTAACTGGGATCTTCACTAGGCCCATCACCTGATGTGCTCTTCCAGCACAGCACTGCTGTGTGCGCTGTGGACCTTTTTTATTTTTAATATATGTCATTTCTCATCTGTTCATCCCATAGACACTGCTGTGTGTGCCTATACATATTTATTTATATATATTTAATTTTGTATATATATCTCTTTAAATATATAAATATTTACTCTCGAATGCTAGCTTCCAAAAATTATGTAGTTGCTCTGTATCCCTCTGAAGCATACATGAGGAGACAGATACAGACAATGCTGAACAGGCCAAAGAAATGGGAAATGTCTCAAGAGAATAAGAATGTGCAATTTGCCTTACTCTTTATTTACTTCAATGTTTTGGGCATCCAGGGAGAAATGATCTTATTTTAGTAATTATTTGAATGTGGCAAGAACAAAGGAATCGCTGGAAGAGAGTGCTTTGTGCAGGGCAGGTGACATGGGGAATGTCAAGCAGGAGAAGGAAACAAGTAGGCCAGCGTGCTCGGAAGGCAGGCGCCCGCGACGCGCGGCAGGGG